GAAGTGACGTGCACTTGATAGAAGTTGCGTGGATAAGCTGTTGCCAGCATACATCGCTGGATATCAGCAAAGCATGCTGGCAACAGCTTATCCACGCACTTCTATCAAGTGCACGTCACTTCCGGTGACACGCCTACCCCAACTTTCGGATATCGACTGTATATATTATTCGCGTACTATCCTAATCTCCGGAGTCGCGAACTATGAACGCGGCCTAAGTGATACACGGCCTGCTGAAGGCGTATCTTGTGATGGTGCGGCGTGTTTCGCTCGCCAGTGTCAAAGATTAGCGGTTTCCCAACCGCCGCCAGGATCGAATTGGGCGCTCATGTCGTTGGGGGGGGGGTACATTCGAGTGTGTGAATTAGTGAGTGAACCGCTTACAGCACTTGGAAGTAAGCCTCAGGAAGTTAAAGGGACTCTGTGGGAGGATGTGAGCAATTTACTCCCTGGCGTTTCTCCTCTCCTGGGCTTAGTGCCGTGCCCATTTCATCAGCCCTGTTTTGAATGACCCTCTCTCCCGCGCTACGAGCCCTCGAGTTATTTTCCGTAATCGGAAAGATCCACGCACCTTTCCGGTATGAATTGAACAACGGCAAATTAATCGATTGCCAATCACGACGACGACTTCGTGAGTATCTGGGTCCAGTGTTAGTTTCATGTCGATTTTCACCGAGTAAATCATCTGAAGCAAGAGCTGCCCCTTCTTCTACACTTGATGTCCCGATTCAACAGCAACATACGTCTCCCCGCGGATTCACAGCGAACAGCTGTGGCGAGATAAACGCCTCAGGTGCATCGAACTCGAAGAAGAGCTGCCCTCCAGAAACCACGGCTGGCTTGTGTCTCAGTGATCGCCGTGGCCTCGTCGAGTATCTGCTCAGCTCCGATATGTCAGTAGAGGAAGACATGAAAGCACAACCTACTACGGGTCGGCTGGGTTAGTAAATGAGATCTACCGAGAGTATCCTGTTAGTGGAAGGCTTGTGTGTGTGTTTACTGGTTTGGATACGGGATAACAGATCTGATACGCGGAAGGTGATCCTGGTTCATCAGTTGAACGATGGAGAATTTCAACTATCCTGTTTCGAAGATCGGTTGTGGGGACAAAATTATGCAGACACGCCGCCAACTTGACGAGGTGAGTTCCTTCTGAGTCAGTTCACTATATCGACGACCTAATCCTTGAAACAATTTCAGGTGATGGGTATGATGCGTTCCAATATCGAAAAATTATCTGAACGCAGCGAAAGATTGGAGGATCTGGCGTGTCGTGCCGGTTGGTTCAACTCAAACCTGAAAAACTTTCCGTCTTTTTGAAAAAATAACCAACTAAAGGCATGCTACAGTACGCGTAGGACAGTTACTGATTATTGTGTTGCACCTCTTCAAAAGTCGATGTTAACCGCTGGCTGGGGCAACGTTCATAGTTCGCGACCGCACATGCGAATAGGTGGCTTCCAGGCTGTTAGGCGCGTACTTCAAAGGAAAAGCATACGTATCGATTATGCGAAGGCGAGTTAGCGAGTACGCCACTACGCTATCGGGTTGTAAGGGAAAAGATACGTATCGGCCAGGCTAAGCAGCGTTCATAGTTCGCGACTTCGGATACTAAAATAGAACGCGCCAATGAAAAACAGGGAGCTAGGATAATAGTGGTTTGAGACAGTAGGATAACAGGATAGGAGAGTTCGCTGAAAAGAACAGATACATACCGATTGAAATCGCTGGAGTGTAGTAGGATACGATGAGGTCATGGTTCGGGGGAGGGGGGGGGGGACATTCAAGTGAGTGAGCCACTTGCAGTACTTGGAACTAAGCTTTAGAGAGGGGAGTGGCGTGATAGGATGTGAACTCCCTGGCTTTGCTCCCCTCTCTGGGCTTACTTTCCATCGAACCTTTCTGAATGTTTCTCCTGTCCCCCCCCCCCCTGTCACAGAAGTGGGCAGGAGTAGAGTCTGTGAACCTTTGCTCTATAATGGTTTAGTTGTAGTACGTGCTGTATCCTTTTCTTGAAAGCCCAACGTAGATGGTTTAGAGACTTTAATGATTTCCTATTCTGTGCGGCGAATAGAATATTAAGCAGTTTACAGAGGTGCTGGACATGGGTCATGAGTTTCCCGTGCGTAGTGAGTGCGACGTCCAAAGATGGGGAGAGGCTACGCGGCTAAAGCTTGTATCGGTTTAGTTGGAGCTGGTAGGGCAGTGGTGGGTTTCCTTTTCGATTGACGTTACTAAGCATGTACATTAATATAACAACTTTATATCATATATAACTGACATAACCGACCCTTGCTTCTGAATTTGCAGAAGAACACGAATATAGGCTTAGGTTAAGGGCTTACTCACCTTCGCAAGGCTGTGCTAAGGCAATGAGAGACTAAGCGCGGAGAGGAGAGTATGAGGCGAGAGAGCGCAACAGATGAGAGGGCGCCAGACAACAGCCTGATAAAAGAAAAAATTGCAGCTGCAGCAGCTACTTTGCAAGGCCCTAGCGCTCTTGTCGGTTGATTTCCGTGCACGGGAATGCCACATTTGTGATTGTCCTCTAGGGGTCTATCCTACAAACCGAAGGGAATCGTTCACACGACTTCTGCCTGGGTTGTGCCTTCAAAGGCAAAGCCCAGGATTTCTTAACGATCAAGTTCTTGCGCGAAAAATGTGGAGTGGGAGGTAAACACAAAGAATATAGCCTCTCAGCGCCACAACTTAATAAGGCTGAGGCTCTATAGCTCAAAGATCATCACATGCTCCGCCCACCACCACAGAACACGTCCCCAAACACGCCTGTTTTCATTACTGGCGCTACATTTACATCTCCACTCTCACTTACCACAGCAACAACACATTAGCGCGTATCCCGAACTTCGCCTTCGACTTTTCGAGGAAGCTTTACCAACAAGCTCGTTCCCTCTGAGGGGCCATTTTTCAGATGATGTATTTCAAAGGGCCCACGAGGGCGGAATTAAGCATGCGGCCCCTGGGTGCAATAGACGTGACAGTTAGCTAACAGGATGCTGTGTGCTACACAAAAAAAGCCTGACTGATACAAGTGAGGGTGCAATCGTACCCTGCGAGTGGCTGTCATCTACATATAAGAAACGAAAAGGTAGCGTTCACATAAAAGAAACAAGGAATGGTAAGAACTGCAAAGGTACAGTACTAAAGCGTTCTCCAAGTAAATATAGTCTCATTCGTAGATTCGCCGACTATATTCGGCTATAGTCGCAACATTGCAATGGCTGCGGTGACCACACCATTAGCAGCGAGAACTCGAAATTTGCAATCCAACTTCTTGTATCTTGGAATACGATCACCGACTCATTTTCAGGCTATTTCGCTCTGTGAGTCTGACAATTCTGACCAAGAGGCATTACTCGATACTGATTAATGTCCGTGATCCGTTGTATGCATGCGTAAACGCATTCGATCATTTGTTGTTTCTTTATCATCGAATTTTACCCCTGCTTTACTAACCAGAGAAAATAGCCAACATCACACTGCAACTAAAGAAAAGGTCAATAGCAGTATGAGACTTCAAATTTTCATACACAGACTACCGTATACGGTCTTTATGAAATTCGGCATATTGTGTGGTATTAGTTCGGTGGTTTCACAAGAGAAACCAGCAAGTGGTGCAAACAGTAACTTCAACCAACATTTAAGTAGAAACGAGTAGGTACCAACTAGGAAAGGACCATAGGTCGAAGGGGCTATTTCTGTTAGATATATACCATGGGATGTATCTATACCCTTACTAACAGATGCTGATCATAATATCCGTGTTCGGGAGGTCAAACTACCTCCAAGGGTGAATTTCTTGCACAATCTAATATTTCGACCAGCTGGGTTCCAAGCGATTTCCACACACGAGGGAAGGTCATCAGGCCGGTCCGGCCATTTGCAATGAGTCGTATACCGTTGAAGTCGCCTCGAGGCGCTGAGCTCAGAACTGCCTTCCTTATCTGCTAAACGATTCTCTGAACGTAGTTATAAAGCAAGGAAGCGCAGTGGCAGTGCCCCGAACTCGCGAGCAAGAGGTCGTAAGTTGGGAACCGCGTTTCCTCGGAAGTCGCTGTTTCTTTGTTTCTTTTTTTTCTTCCTTTTTTTTTTTCTGCTCGTGATAAGTACATGGAAGCCAGAAACGCACTCTCCTAACTTCTCTATCAAACACGCATGACCTTGACTACCGCGCCCAGCGTATTGTCACTCTCTCTTGGCCCGCGTGGCGACAAAGCCGGTTCTGCGACGCGCGCGCCGCCTCACAACAATCTGTGGATTTTCGAGCTTACTAACGCATTACCTCTTGCATCGCAAACAACAGTCTCAGCTGACTATTCAGTCTGTGTCACAAAGCTTATTGGAAGTTATCACCATATGAAACGTTACTCGCTAGCACTCGCCGAACCCCCCAGCCTCCTCACCTTACCTCTTGCCTCTCTACGTTGATTTCATACATAATATCTGTACGCTCTGGTTCCTGTTGTTCCCGGCAGATAAACACGAAATTTGTTTTCTTGTTACCCACGACACGCAGATAGCGTCTCCTCTCTCTCACCTCTACTCGTAGGCTGCACCTTGTTTTTTCCTACATGGGTTGCCCGACGGCGTCGTTAATCGAAGCAGCAACAAGTGAGCGATATGAACTAAACGCGGCTCACTCTCTCTCGTCCACGCGTCCGGTCCGAAAAACCTCTGCCAAACTAAAGAATATTTGGTCATTCTATAAGCCGCGTGGTTCTTGGTTATGTTGTGGTATGGCCTAAAAAATGAACACAAAAAACCTGGGAAGAAATGGCGCGTTCAAGAAAAAACTGAATGTAAAGGGCGTAGCTAATAACTTCGTACAGGAGGGGCTCAAAAAAAAGACATTTTGCCTATGTCGGACTTCGGCCCTTTTTTCTTCGCAGAGATTGCTGCGTTGACGGGAGTTCCTCAGCAGAGTATTCCTCTAAGTGTCCCTCCTATAAGTGAACGCAGGCCCTCCTTCACTGCCCTCACCGTCTTCAGAATATGACGTCATCTGTCACCGTCGTCAGGCTCAAGGAAGGTCTACCGTAAGTGCTTCAGCCTGAAGCTCTTACGCAATTTCGTGAATCGATTTAATGTTGGATACTTTCTAGAGGCGTTAGCTCCCACTATACAAATCCCCTCGAAACGAGCTTTCCAGTAAAGGTCGTTATGGTACAGAATCCTTCGAAGACCCCATTGAGCTCGACCAGTGCACCATGTTTCCAGGGCAAATTCTTCTGTTGCCGTCCACGTGGGTGGCCAACATGAAGATTTTCTTATAGAATGAAATGTGCTCTTCAATATTAAGTTGGGAACACTCGGTCTCAATTGAGCAAAGTGTGCTTAAATCCATCTGAAAGTGGAGACAAAATGTCTTTTTTTTTATTGCCCCCCCCCCTGTAGTCCTGCCAGCAATGTCCATTGCCGGGTGCAAAACGCCGCCGGCCTCAGCTTGTTCATCCAACTGGTCGTTAAATTTTATCACCTTCTGCCATTTTAGTTTCCTGTACGCAAAGATAATTGGTCGAGCCAGCTCTTTGCAGGTGTGCGGGAGCAGGTCGGTGCGATGCCATGATAAATCGGTGCCCCCGAAATGCACGTGCTCTCGGCTTTGTCAGGCTTTTTTGCGGCAAACAGGCGTGATATTCGTGTTCAGGAAGATCAAACTACCCTTGGAGATAAGTTTCCTTCCGAATCTGAGATTTTGAACCCAACCTTCTAATGGTGAGTTAGTCAACCATCATATCATCCAACCTATCGTTGAACTCTTGGCATGGCGAAAAATTGCCGCTTCAACCAGATTTCGAAAAGAGGCAAACGGGATTAAGCTGCTGCATCCATTTCTGCACTAATTGGAACAATGATTTACATGACTCCGCCACTCCAAAATTCAAAGGCTTGCTTTTCCAGTTAGTTTTCGATTCATACCTTCTCTCGTTTGACTGTATGTTGACTGCCCTTTCTCGAGTGTAGGTCAAAATCTCAGATTCAGCTGGAAACTTGTAACCAGGGAAAATTCGGTCTCCTGAACACGAATATCATACTCGTTTACCGCAAAAACACCTTATCAGTGGGCTATGAACGTCGTTTTTCAGTCATGGGGCAAGTCCTACTTAATTAAATTGACAGTTCTCCAGCCTACCGACGGTGCACGTGCTACTTAACTCCTTGCCAAAGTAAGGTTTTAAAGGCAAGGCATTGACGGAAACACTGCTTTGGCGCTTCTACAAAGCTTATGTGACCTCATATTTACAAAAGGCAAACAATAAATCACACGGAGAACTGACTGGTCCCTCATGACTCTCTGCCTACAATACCTAGATCCGTTACACCCTTCACTCCCGGCATAACCGACGCATGAAGCTCCTTAGCCGACTGCTCGTTGTATGAGGGCGACTCCATGAGATAGCGCCATTGAAGGGCGATGTCATAACTTTGCGAAGCTTGCAAACTCATGACAGGTCGCCATATAGCGCCGTTTGAGCACCCAGTGTTGCAGACGAATTCTTTCACGGTCACTCCGTCAGAGGCACGTTTGCTAGACTAGTTCGTCTTCGCAGGAGGGCGCGTAGGTTTACACCTTCATTGCAAAATGGCGGCACCGACTTGATGGACGCGTGTCCCGCCGCACCTCGTGAGTAAATCTCTATGCCCACAACAAATACAGCAGCTGAACCACTAGAAATTACAAAATTCTTCAAAAAAAGAAATTAATATCAAACGTGCCCCAATAAGTTCGCCCTTGAATGGACTCCTCCCACCACCGCTCATACTCTGGGCTGAATATGAATCTAATCTGCCGATGTTCCAGCTAGCACATACCAGTCTGGCTGCCTAGTATTTCAGAATGAAGCCCTGCTGACCCGAGGGACAAAGGATGGCACATTTAAATGCGTGGCGCATATAAAGGACTCGATGCCGGGTCAATAACTCTTTTAAATAAACGAACAGAACAATAAGAAGTTTATTTTTACAATAAAAATCTCCAATAGAAACTGGTAACAAGGAAGAATCAAGGAGAAGAGGAGGATGGATAATGAAGTGAGGATCGCATGCAGCCAGAGGTTCGTAGGAGCATTTGCCTCATCTCGAAAGTATTGCTGAACCGGCATGCCAGTACAAATGATCTATAGTGCCCCACGTCTAACCCAACATCGTTGTCAAAAACGAGCAGTGATCGTCTGTGGATGTGTCTGCGCCTAGCTTTTGTGTGGAAATAAAACGTTGAAACGGTGAAGAGTGGAAGAAAGCAACGTAAAGAAAAGAAGGGAAAGAATCACAGAAAAGATCTTACTGTGAACCGTATCAGAAGACTAAATCTACAGACAGGTGTGTACGAGAATGAACCGAGTTTTCGCTGCAGTGCCAATTAGGACAATGCTTCGCCCGATCATGAGAGATGGAGAATGGTGGGGAGAACAGTTCGCACTCAACCTAGACAAAACGAAAAAGGGCTGGTTCGAAGGGACAGTTGAGGTACTTGGAGAACAGAGCCCGACCGAGACCGACGTCAACCCGCTGAACGTCAGTAGTAGTACCTTTAATTGGCGTGCGGGAAAAAAGCTGCCATATAACATCAAAGACGGAAACGTACGGGAAGCACCCAAATAGAATTTATGATGTTTGAACCCGCTCTCGCGCTGGAGCACAGAACAACCCCTAGGAACGAAGAGTTCAACCACCTAATACCTAGGACCAATATGTCAGCTATTACCAGTCCGTCTTCGAATGAGTGATACCAGTCAGAAGCGAACGGATAGTCGAATACTGTGCCCATTATCCTAAACAGGTAGACACTATTCTCAAAATCTCAACAATATCTACAAAACTACGAAGGCGAGAACGGAAAACCCCAACACCACGAGCACTCATGAATGTTGCATTTTTAAGGGAAACAAAATACGACTACTAGGCTATGTCTGGGAAAAAATGATGAGTTAGTAAGACAACTATGACTAACACTGACAGACACTGAATGAATAGCAAAGAAGAAAGAATTTTCTAATAAGGAGAAAATGGGGCCAGCACAGGGGATGGATGATAGCACGGAGATGTTCAGATGGAACGACGACTTCGAGATGACCACACGAGAGATTGGAGATAACAAAGGACGAGGCAGAGGTATTGTACAGCGGAACCCATGACAGCAAGACCTAAAAAAACTTAGATTGTTGAAGAAAAGAACATACTATGCATTCAGTTCAAATCTTCCAATCCATATCCGTGTGGAAAAGTTCAAATTAAGAAATTCTGGTGAACAACAAAGCGTGCACATTTCCTTTCGGAATTAATTCTATGCTTTCCCAAACAGATTTCGCTTCACATTAACTTCGCTCGACAAAAAGCAAAGTACAAAATAAAGTGAAATCAAGCAATAGCAATTCAGCCAATGGAATACGTCGACAACTTCATAACTCACCGAAAAGGGTACATATAACAAAAACATACTTTGATCTGGCTTCACTCGAAATCCTTGTCTTCAAGGTACCGATATTCAAATGTGAATGATTCCTTTTTTCGTTGTGACCACTTCTCGTAATCAAAATACACATAGGTTCCCTAGAGAGAAACGATGTAGAGAAATAAGACGGTAATATAGCGTATATCTAGTGACCTGCTCGAAATCGTCCGTGATTTGCTTCGGTTCCTCATGCCGTTGAAACCACGTGAGATACTTTGTGTGAAAACGCCAAGACAACTTCTTCAACGCCTTCGCGGCTAGTAATTGTGCTCTCGTTCCCTGGAATTAGAACATGTAAACACTGAAAATATTGACAGCAGGCAAAGGCCAGTTGAGCAGAATATTATCCGATAGCTAAGTCCGCTACAGCACAATTTTCAACCTCACAAAGAAAAAAATCACGTATAAAAAAAAAATAGGAAAGGCTCACTCATCAGTAATTGTTTTCGAACACATAATATAGTGTGAAGCTCGAAACACAAAACTTTTAGAGGTGCAATACCGCGCCCCTCGGGAAGTTAAGCCCTCCACAAGAACAGCCAAGAGCAGCAACTTGGAACTGACCTCCATATAATAGAAAATGAAGAAGAGGGTTTCTGGACTTAGCCTCAGGTAGTACTCGAGTGTGTCGACGTTTTGTGCAGATACCTGAAAGTCCAACTAAAATACTACTTATCAACACCAATATCCTGTACATCTGTCAAACAGGGTTGTGGCCGAAGGCTTCGATACATATATGTGGCAATACCTGTGGATAATAAGACGCGCATGGACATGGTATTTTCGGCAAGTACGTTCGAGGACGTTCGCTATCCATAGGCAGAGGAGTGCGTGCAAGAGATGCTTCCAAGGCGGCTAATTGCATATCCATCTCATTTGTAGTCGGTATACGACCTAATGGAGATGCACCTAGCCATGCTGGAATGTGTGCCTGAAAAAAATGTTGACAACATTTTGTAAATTCTAGGAAATGTCGACAAAAAATAAATAAAAGACAAAACGCAGTGAAATTCACCCGTTGCGGTTCAGTATTGGCAGGCTGTTGATTTTGCTGTGATAAACGCAATACCCGTAGAGGATCATCGGCAGCATCAAGCGCCACTTAAAAAACAATAAAAATGGTTCTGGGAGAAAGGTTAGTCTTGTAGACTTAACAAAAAAGACAAGCCAAGAGAAAATCGATACCATCACCAGAACGGCGGCCGCCTCCAGACTCGCTCACAGTTCTTTGCGTCGTACCCTCCACAACATCTGCCATGGCGGACGCCGTACTACCATCAGCACTCAATGCAGCAGATGCCTGAATATTTACACCTTAATATCTTGCCGTATTGAAAGATAAAACTGCATTCATGCTAGAAACATAATCCATTTGATACGTTATACATTTTAAAAGGTAAATGAAAATAAAATGAATAAGCGCATTGAAAAAAATCGTCGAGAATGCCTTCTAATTACTACAAATTAAGGTAAATCATGTGCTTTTCTAATAAATGGTTGAATAAAAACAATAAAATATTAATAGCCTAGCAAGCCGCGCTCAGACGAAAGTAGGTTTATCTGGAGGTGTTCTCCACTTCATCGGAATTAACACAACATTCTGAAAAGTCGACAGAAATCTCGGGCTTTATCAGCAAATGTGTAGGGGTCGATACGACGAAACTAAAAAGCGCTGTGTGTGCAAATTTGTACCCGCCAACTGCATGCGATACTATAAAACTCCGTAAGTCACATTCGCCCACGTTTCAATTCCTTTACTTCGAGACCTTAATTTGAAAAACACGCTTCGCTGGCTATTCCACCTATCACCGTTTCAAAATGTACTACTATAAGAGAGTGGTGAAAAAAAACTACACAATTAAGGAAGAAAAAACCATTATATACGAAATAATTAAAATCGCTCGTTTTGCTCCTTCCTCAGACGAACCTTTTTTCCGTCAACCCTGGTATAAGAAATTAAGAAATGCGCTCAGCTGTTACACTCATGTTCCATCACTTCGTAAAAATGATGGTTTACGGACTACTTGATTTTTCCTCAATGGTCCTGCCGCGATGGCTAGAGCAC